TCTTCAATGTCCCAGCACAGGATACACCCTTACCTATCTAAAAGATCCATCTACAACAATTGGACAGGCTACAATTGACATACGCCCACTTCAACAGGACTTACCCATTGATTCAGTATGGAAATTTACACTGTCACCATTTGATACATAGTTCAAATAAATTGCACTGTGGAGTTTTAATCAATACTTAACAGATTTGTTGTTCTTAGGAAAGCTCGGGACATGCCTCTGGTCCAGCCATCTCATGTATCACTTGTCAGAAGGAGGTTCCCTTCTCTGAAATGAAACTGCACCGAGCTAACTGTGATGGGTATGCACTTGTTAAAGATATATAAGAATTACATATTCATTTTTCATTAAGAAATGTCTTTTTAGTTTTTGTGCACACAGATGAGAGGAAATGACTGTAACATTTTCTGAACTTCAAGGACCCCCATGCAGGAAACACATAGAGAAGGAGAGGGAGACCGTGGTGAGGAAAATGATAGAGAGCCACCCACTGACAGGGACAGCGTTCCAGTGAGGCCTGAAACATCTGTCGAGAGTGAAGTAGAACCAGTAGTGATTGAAAGTGAGAAGATTGATCTTAAAGAACTTGACAATGGTTTGCGTCATCACAGTAGGAATGCTATGATATTGTGCATAATTAGAACTCAGTCAATAGAAGAATAACACCTTTTAACCATAATAGATAACGACTATAAGACATGCCATTATCACTGCTGTTTTATAGAACCTTAGAAACACTTCCTCATACAGTTCAACAGAACACATTGACACAGACTCCACATCTAAGTGAAGCTTGGTTGACTTAAAACAGCAAATAAGCATCATTCTGATGAAAGTGAAGTAGAAATGGACTTTCCTAGTATCTATTAAAAGGCTGTTGGATTCTGTTACATTTTTCAGGTGTTCCTCCTTTTCTGTTGATTGGGTGAGTTTATCTGCATTTAACATGCGAAGTAGTTAATTTTTTTTTTGTTCTTGTCTAGACTGGAAGATTATTAAAGAACCAACTCTGGCTGCCCAAGTTTTCAAAGATAATCTACTAAGTGAACATGCAACCGGGAAGCCTCTTAAACTGAAAATGGATGTAAGGGAGAGTGAGGAGGACAGGGAACGGACACTTCTCTCATTCTATAAACAGCAACAGGAATGGGCATGTCCACTTCATTGTACCCTTGATGGTTAGTAGAATAATATAAATATATCCTGTTACATTAATATCAATTATGTGTCTTATATGGAATGGTATTAGTGGTTTACTGGTCCCATCAGGTAATTTGGCTGATATTAATCATTATATGATAATCTGCATTGGCTGTTCATGCTGTCTGCATAACAGTTCATGTGTTTGTCCTTCCTTCCTAAAACTTGTCAAGCACCTATAGCCTTGTTACAGCTTGTTTCCAGTGTGTTATTAACAGTATACAGTATTCTTTAAAAATTCAGAATGAATCTTGGTAAATGTGCTACTATTCAGGTTAATGTCATGCATTTTAAAAGTTAATTGTTTGATTTTAAGCCCTGCTCTGTTGGTACTTACAGGAGGAGTGGGCCAAACTCTGCTATTTGAAGGTGAGCCTGACCATCTCGTTCCAGCTGCATCAGAGGTGCTTATTGAGAGCAACCTCTTCCCGGTTGCAGGAAGGATGATAGCCCACTCCTTTTTGCATGATGGCCCCAATGTCACCGGATTAAGTCCTGCTGTTATTCATGTACTGTTCAATGGGGACCCTGAAATGGCAACAATTGTTGTCGAGGACTGTCCTGATCTGAACATCAGGAGTATTATAACAATGGTATGTAACACACAAACAAAAAAACCTTTGCCTTGCAAAAAGTTGGTACCTCTGCTCCTGATCATGAATTCTGCTACATCTGAATTCTGAATTCTATCAGACCATACCCTTGACGGCAGCCCGTACTGCTGAACGGCATTGATAAAGCTCTGTAGGACAGTGCTAGCCCTGTTATTGCCAGCCACATTCAGGTAGACCACCAGTCGACTGAATCCGTCCACCCCACCATGGACAACAAATCTCCACCTGTCAGACAGTTTTGAACACAAAAAAGCTTTAATGTGATAATTTCTCTGGACATCTATAGAAAGTTGCATTGTTTATCAACTAATATCACTGATACCTTACAAGCTTGTGGTGACCATCTATGTGCCATGAAGAGTTTGGGCCAGGAACAGAATACTGCCGTCGTTTTATTACATGCAGCCGTAGACGTCTCATGTACACTCCCTCAGCATCCACTCTGTGCTAGGTCTCTCAGTCTTGAGACTTTAGAGCAGAAAATAATCATACACTCATTTGCTATTTATTTAAAAAAAACTCTTAAAAATCTAACTGAGAAATACTGGAAAAAAATACCAGAGTTTCAAATATTTAGAAGTATTTTGATAGTGTTAGGGTGTTAATAAAAAAAAATAATAATAATAAATGGCAACACCATGGATTTAAATTTGTAAATCCAGTACAAAACCACCACAGTCTCAAAAATTACCGCAGTTCACCTTATCTATCATCAACATGATATATAAAACTTCATAATAACAGGATACAAATCTGGATTTACCCTGGAAATGAGTTTCAGATATATCAGCCGCTACTTTGCAAAAGAATACATACATACATGAGCCTTACCTTCACAATATATATTCTCATTGACCTTGCGCCTAGTTCATGGTCATTTATATTTATTCATATTGGGCTAGGATCATACTCACTTGGAACATTCAAATGTCCACGCATTAGCTTGTAGCCGGTGTTTGGATGGCTTCTGTGGACTTCGCTTACAATACGGTCCAACTCCTCATCAGCAACAGGTGTAGAGATCTGTCTTTCTGCGCAGACCAAAAAACTAAATGTTACATTTCACTTAACACCTTTTAAAATGAAGGACATCGCCAGTACACTACTAATAATTTTAATAAAATCCGTGAATTTAACTGTGAATACCTTAGGCCACTATGTTTCATGTGCCTTTTGATTGTCCTCTTCGAAACTCCAAACCTCTCGGCAATTTCACTCGCTGGTAGCCCACACCGGACATGATGCTCTAGAACGGCAGTGGGTATGTCAAAAGCCGGGCGCCCCTGGTCCGGGTGTGTGCTGCGGCCCCGTACGGGAGAAGCGCTGGAGAACTTCTTCTAAGTTTGCGAACACTCTTCGGCCAATATCTTAGTCAGAGAGACCGGAAATAACTCCAAGAACTTCAATAAATCCCTCTGCTTTGCTAGCCACATGTTCAGGGTCCGAAATTCCAGCGTCAACATTCTCTGCCAGGTCTAAAATATCTGTTATCAACTCACGGGAGAGCTCATGCAGATCCTCTGTGATTGCTGCCATATTTGTTTGTTTGTTTGGCGGGAAACCACCTAGTCTGGCAACCCTTCAGACCAAAGCAATGGTTTGTGACTCGATCAGCGTTAATCCCGCCCACTGAGTTTGATGGCAGAGGATGACAGATAAAATGATTTCATGATGCACTGCTGGAGCAGGAAACATGAAATAATTAAATAAATAGTGGAATAAATAGATGTGTTTTAACATAGAATGAATGAACATTTTAAATAATTATTTAAACATTTATTTAATTATTTATGTATTTCATAAATTGTTTATTTATTTATATATTACCAATTTTAAATAATTAATGACACATTTAAATAATTATTTAATAACACGTGCATTTAATTAATTAAATATTTATATATTTATTTATATATTTGTTGATTTATTTCCAATATTAAATAATTGATGACACATTTAATGATTTAATTAATTATATATTTATATATTTCATTTTGGCACTTTTAGTCCTCCATAGATTTTACTTTAACACTCTTTTTTTGTTGCTTTAATAACTGTCCTTCCTGGCTCCCTGTAGTAGCAATTTCTTCTTGTGTGTCATATAAAAATTGTCACTTGTGTCATAGAAGCCAACCTGTTCGTTCCTGATGCCTGTCCACTTAAATATACTCACAGATCCGTTGTTTCACTTGATTTCTTATTTTATTCGCAATTCCACTTTTCAGAACAGATCCAAAATGAATATATCAAAACTCATAACAAAAGGTCACGATCAAAAAAACATTTGCTGCGTGGCTCCTATACCTCCACCACAGTCCACAAACAAAAAACCATCTACTTTTTTCTCACCACCTGTGCATCGCACCCAAATTAATTAACTCGGCTCCACCCATAACACAAAATACCTGCCAAAATATGCCCAAATAAATCCATTATTCACCTTAAAGGTTTCTATGTCAAATCAAGTACTTCGCATAAATTAATACTTATTTCTTACAACACAAAAAATATACTCTATTAACACAAACTTAAACCATACTTCTGAAACTAAAGTTATCATGATTAAAATGGCCTCTACATTCCCTATGGTCTTTAGTATTGATTTCTTAATTGGCTTTACAACAGTCCATCATGGGACTGCTTTCTGATTCATTGTCACTTTGCTTCTGGGACTGATTTCATTTGTAACATCTTTTATAATAACTTGTCAACACTTTTTGTCCACTAGTTCTAGTTAACTGAAACTGGTCCCATTTAGCTTTACTGATTACCCATTGTTCGTCTCTTTCCTCCCCCTCTACTGTATCTCTCTCTCCATCCGTGTATTAATGAATCTAAGTATTGTTTTAAACTCTGTCTCTTCACCCCTACTTCCAGGGCCTGTCGTTGTTTTCCTTTGTTTCCTCGTAGCTCGTTCTCTCACTTCCCTGACTGATATCCATACTATCCTCCCTCTCAGTCTTTTCTGAGTCACCTCATTCTGGCCCGTTCAAAACATGTCTGTGTCTTCCAGCCAGAGCGCTCCCAGCTATGTTGGCTTTCCCTGTGTCATCCAAATCGAATAAAAACTATAATTATGTTATAAATGTTTAATACACAATTATATTACAGTTATGCTCAGTAACACTTTTTTCTTTCCCAGCCCTTCACCTTTAACCTTAACACTGAACCCTCACAGACGTTATTAATAATAATAGCTTTATTTATACAGCACCTTTGAAGCGAGCAGAGTCACAGATTGATTTACAAAAGGAAAACGTCAGGCGTGCAGTGTGTGAGTCTGTGAGTATGAAAGATGAAGAATGGTACACATAATTATGACATCACATGTTGCCAGGCAACAAGATGACTGTAAGGAAGACACAATGAGCTACATTTGACAGAATGAGCCCATGCAGGAATAAGAATATAAACGTGTATACAATCAAGCCTGTAGCATTACAGCTGCACAGCATCATTCTTATAGTAAGGTACATCAGTGTCTGTTAACATTTAAAATGAGTCTGTGCAAAGATATTATTCAGTTAGATTTGTCATGATTCACATCACGGCAGCCCTCCATGTTTGTGTCGTTTCTCTCCCCTGTCTGTGTCCCTGAGTGTGGTGGGCATGGTTTCATTCGCCAGGTGAAGCTTGTTTCGTGATCAAGGCTCTCTCTACAAAGACTTCACAAAATATGGAAAAAGATATAATAAAGAGTGGGAGAAAGAGAGTGCATTGAAGGACTGGATCCGACCTCAGGTGGGAGATGACTCAAAGGTATTCTGCAGATTCTGCAAGTGTGAAATACTAATCTTTTCTTTTAATCAGAGTTTAAAAGTTTAAGCCAGACTCTCTGTGGGATAATGGACTCCTCGTCTGAATTAGCCCCCGGCCTCTTTGGCCTCGTTTAGCGATAGATCAAGGATAGCTTATGTACTGGGTCTGCTCACAGGGAGGGCTAGGTCTTGAGAAATCACTTTTTGGCATAGCCTACTCACTGCTAATGCTCCTTTTGACCATTTTACATGACATGACATGACATCTGTTTTTGACCACCCAATTACCAGCTGTGACTCTAGCAACCAGCTACTTAGCCTGCGTCAGGGCCCCTATAATGCAGCTTATTACTCGGATGCGAGCCGCAGAGTTAGGGTTGGACGACAGAGCACTGCAAAGTTTTTTTTTTTTAAAGGGTTGAACGAAGCTGTAAAGGACTGTTTAGTGGGGACAGCTCAAACTAGAGACCTGCGGGAGCTATTAGGGCTAGCGATCAAGATTGAAAACAGGTTAAGGGAGAGAGAGCATTACCTCCTCAAAGGCCGTGTGACCGCTCCATTGAACTGTTACCTGCAGCCCCTCCTTCAACAACCAGGCTCTACAACCTCTCTGCCCCCGGAGTAGAAGACGTTATGTCACTCACAGCGGGGTCAGAAACAGATTTGTCAGGAATCAGATTTTCAATTATTTCGTGAGATGGTAAAACTTTTCCGTTAGCCAAATCATTCCTGATGATGAGATCTATATGGAGTTATATCAGGGTGTATTCACACCAGGAAAGTCCTTCAGTTTACTTTCTTAGATACAGAACAAATACAATGTTTCTTTTTTGGTTTGGTGCAGTTCGTTTTCACATTGCACTTTTGAATTTGTAAACAAAGCCGCGAGTGAAGATCGTTCAATCATTGGACAAAAAGGTCCTGGTATTGATTTGGTTCATACAGTTACAAACATTTGCAGAACATTTTGAGCAGTGAGAGAATTTGATACAACATCGGTTTTATGATGCAATGCTTTTCATTTTACAACGACGAAGACGTGCTACAAGAAGGCTGCGAAGGAGAGCTCTCCTTCTAATGGCATGCCAACAGAAGGCCGACCAGGTGTGAAGTTAATTCATAGAGTTGATCAACAGTTTTTATTCGTGCTAACATTGCTGCATACAGCCAGTTAGGCTTAGCCATAGTCCTATAACATTTAAGTAATTTAGCTGACGCTGCTATCCAAAGCGACTTACAATAAGGTACAATCAAGCTACAGTGCATTAGGAATAGGTAATGTACAAATATCATATAAAAGTGCAACAATGAAAGAGCAAAATAGAAACACAAGTTAAGTCAAGCCTTTCTTATAGGGAGAATCTGGGTCAATCCACGCTCCCAGGATTGGTGGTAACTCATTACCAATAACTGGACTAACAGAGTTTACACAGCTCTCTCTTTCATCTCCAGCGGTCCGTGGTCTGTCTGATAAATGTTCAGAGCATTCTGCAGGGAGTAGGAGTTCAGGCAGACAGGCTCAAGGCCTGGATGAAGAGTCATGCAGTGTGGCTCCTCTGGAGGCTCCAGACATTTATTCTGAACCTGTTGGAGTATGTGTTAGAAGGTGTTTCAGTTCTGAAGCTCCAGTATTAATCTTGTGTATTCATACTTTGAATGATCATTTTGTATAAGGAAACTATATATATATATATATATATATATATAAATTGTCTTTACATACGGCGTTAAGCTGCTTGCAGCACACACTTTCCATCTCTGTGGGCATCATCCTGCACTCTCCACAGGTGCACCTGTTCAAATATGGTTTAATTAACAGTGACTATGATATAAATATTATGTGTTAAACTACATTAATCTCAATACTACTGAGTATATCCTGTTGCATAGCTTGTGTGTTGTAATTATGAAAATCAGCAGTTCACACATCAAGCATGAGGACCTGCAGGTACAGTATGTAGATTAAACTGACAATAGACCTTTCTTTTATTAGCTAGGTGATATTGATAACGGTGGGTTATTTTACCTTTATTGTGTAAATAAAAAAACTGGTACAACAGAAGGCTGTAAATGGGGCACTAGTTTTCCCTTATTATTGATCACAAAAATGTTAAACTTGACCAAATAGTAATAAAAATCACAGGCAATTATAGTGTGAGGATGGCTGCCTGGTTCATAAATAAATGCAAAGCAAAAAGTGGTAAAGTTACATATTATTTTATTGTGGTTAGCTAAGCTTATTTCATTTGGCTAGCTATGCTATTGAGAAACAGGCTTCCATTACACATTGATAGACTAAACCAAGATGATGGAGAAAAAAAATGACCATTCTGTGACAGACAGGTCTGTTAGAGGAGCTGAGGCCTCCATAGTCAGGTCATTTACATTTTTGACAGTTGAGAAGGGAACGTCTCTCCGCGAGTGGGCGTGGCTTCGGCGCATTCTATGGACACGCCCACAGCATGGCAGAGGAGAGAGAACAGCTACAGTTTTCATGATTTTGAAGCTTAATTTTATTAATGTATAAGTTTTTTTTATTGCCGAAATTTGGCCTGGTGGTTAATAATACATTCTTCTTTTGTATAAAAAACTAAAACATATATTTTTTTCGGTTTACAGGGACTTTAACTGATGACTTTCAGACAAACACGACTGAAAGTGTCCTAACAAATGCCTTTTTGTTCCGTTTATGTATTATCATTATGTCAAAATTACTTATGAGACATGTTTTAATGAAAGCCAAACGAATAGGATTTCGTTAGGACTTGTAACGTAAGACAACCAGACTCACTCAGCTGACAGTCACCAATTAACATGGTAACTCTTTTAACCGTAACACCGGCACGGACTTTGCCGTTTCTAGCGATATAAATAGTGTCCCGTGTGCTGTTAAAGAATCGCAACTGCCCCAAACTCAAAGTTTATCTTAATATCTTGGTTTTTCCATGGTTGTCAGGTGATGTAAACATGTGTCGTTTACAGGAGATGTTAAATTAAAAGCCGTGCTTTTAAATGCACTCCTTTATGTCTACTTATGAGTATACATTTCAGATTTGAAATGACAAGACTAAAATGTGCATTAATGCTCAACTCAATAGCTAAGGGAAGGAAGTCTACTTTTACACAACTTTTTATTCTTTTGATAAATACTAATGTAGTTCATTTCTTAAAATGGGATGGAACAGAGTCATTGCAAAATGATGACCTTAAACACAGCCCCATTCTTAAATCAAGATACATGGAGAGTAAATAAGATCAATAACTTGTGAATAAAAACACAGATAAAAATGATTTAGAAATGTAGTCTTCCCAGATTAATATCACATAATATCAACTTCTCCCATCTAAACTGGACAAAGGGTTTTAGAATGGGAAGAAAATGGTTTGATTGCAAGTTGTTTGGAGGAGATCTATTTTTATTTGAACAGCATGAATACAGTCTTCCAAGGTGCAAACCCTCCTCCTTCTTCTGAAGCTTGTGGAGCTCCTTCATGTACTGCTGTCTTATCTGCTGGCCATCTTCTCTCAGCAGAACTTCAACTGTTGAAAAGTCATTCAGAAGAAGCTCGAGCATGTGACATGGATCCAGGAGAACATGGACTTTTAGTGAGGGGTCTTCAGGATGACAAAGAAAGAGAGAAAATATCAGTTATTCATTAAATCATTTTTTTGTTCTCATCTATTTTTCTGTATTCATCTGTGTGTAAGAGCACATTTATAAATTCAACAGTGTACTACCCAGACAACAAAGGTACAGTATTCAGGTAATCAACATCTATTCAAAGTTAAGAAGATAAATCTTATTGTAATCATGCTATTTTCAGCTCTCTCACTTGCACAATGATATTCCACATCAAATGGTCTCAGATTTTGAGGAAAAATTAAGCAGTTTATTGTGGATAGTACTTCATCTTAACATGAAACAAATATAACCTGAATTATTTAAATCATTAACAGGTCCCAACTCTCTGTGCTTTAGTACAGAACATACAGTAACTCATTTATTATTAACATGAGCTCAGTACATGGCTGTATTCTTCAAACTATTTCTTATACTTTATATCTATGTGCTTTATATCTTATTTTATATTTCTTCTGCTATATTCTGTGTATGAGTTCAGTGAAAATTAATATGTTATTAATATAGTTCTTAATGGTCACAGATGCTCTTACAAAGTGCATTTTTTCTTTAAATTTGTTAACAGTTTGCTCAAATCTTAAGACACTACATCAACCATGTAACGTTAATGTCATCCTCTATAACCTACACAGCACATTAGGTTCAGTTCAGTTTATGTTACTGACGGATAATTACTACACAAAGTTTGTTTTTTAATGTCCACATTTACGTGGAGTATAACATTCATCATAACGTCAGATAACCATATTTACTGTCTGTGGTTAACCACCGAGCTGAACCTTTAGCTTCTAACATCACACAAACTCATTATTTTCAACAACAACATCTTAACAACAAACATTTCTAAACCACTGACCGTAAATAATGTAAATAATGTAAATAATGTAAATAATGAGCTACACTCAGTACAGTCAGCCGACTGGTTTACAAGCTAACACTAAACAAGCTAGGTCCGTAAATATAAATACCGACACATGAGTAAGCAGTAAATATAACACTACTATATCACTTACCGGAAAAAACTGAAGTTTCAACTTGTTGGATGGTCTGTTAACCGCACAGCAAGCCATGTATGTTGTCAGATATGTGTTAAACAAACTCTCCAAACGAAGTAAGAAAGAGGAGAAATCAGACGGATCAAGCTGTTAGCCTCCTGACCTGCTGACCGTGCAGAGCTGTCAATCAAATCTGCCACAACCCTTATATGGGCATAGTCGTTTTCCTTAATAGAATAAAATCCGATGACTTATAAAAAAATATATACAGTATATATATACAGTGCCTGTTACAGTGCCTGTTTTGAACCAGGCTGTAAACATGTTGATTCCTGTGGTAAAAACTGGCTTTTTTGGCTGTGGGCTTATGGCACTTCCGGCGCTTCTGCAGCCAGCCTCAAGTGGAACCTCGAGGAACTGCAGTTTTTTGTACTTTGTACACACAGTCAGAGCAGCTATGTGAAGTTAACCCTGACTGATGTCCTCTTGTCTCCTTACAATCATCTTCCCTGTCTTCATTCTCAGGGTCAGAGCTGTCTTCAGTCTTGACCTCAGTCTCTAGTTGTAAATGTCTCTCTGGATCTGAGTCCCTCTCTGGTTCTGCTCCTCCACAGTCCTCTCCATCATCTCCTGTTTCTGTCTCTCTTTTCTCCTCAGTTTGATTTTGATGAAGCTCTGCATTCTGACTTCCAAAACATTTGTGTTTTTTTAACTGATGAGACCAAGAAAAAATTTGATCACAATCAGAGCAGCTAAATGGTTTCTCTACACTGTGATTGGCCATGTGACGTGTTAAATTGGCCTTTCGGTTAAATATTTCATTGCAAACAGAGCAGCTAAACAGATTATCCCCTGTGTTGTGCAATGTGACGTGTCAGACTAGTATTATGTTTAAATTTTTGACTGCATAAAGAGCAGCTGTACAGTTTCTCCCGCGTATGAACCGACATGTGTGAGGTCAGATGCCCTATCTGGTTAAATCTTTTACTACAAAAAGAGCAGCTGAAGGGTTTCTCTCCTGTGTGAATTCTGGTATGTGTGGCAAGATTCCTTTTACTTCTGAATGTTTTATCACACTTGCCGTGTGATTTCTTATCAGTCTTTGGTCTCTTATTTGTTATGTTTTCCACAGAGGTTAAATCTGAATAATATCCTCTGGTCTCCTTCCAATCAACACTGTCTTCTGTCTTGGGTTCATAACAGTCTTCAATCTTGACCTCAATCTCTGGTTGTAAACGTCTCTCTGGATCTGAGTCCCTCTCTGGTTCTGCTCCTCCACAGTCCTCTCCATCAACTCCAGTTTCTACCTCTCTTTTCTCCTCAGTTTGATTTTGATTAAACTCTAAAGCCTGACCTCCAACACACTTGTCTTCTTTTAACTGATAAGACGAAGACAATCTTTGGTCAGAAACAGAGCAGCTGAGAAGTTTCTGAACTCTTCGGCGTGCCATGTGAAGTTTCAGAGTTTGCTTATGGTTAAATATTTTACCGTAGTCAGAGCAGCATAAGGGTTTCTCTCTTGTGTGAACCAACATGTGTCTGGACAAATGCACCTTTTGGTTAAATCTTACACAGCAAACAGAGCAGCGGAAGGGGTTCTCTCCTGTGTAAATTCTAATGTGTCTGGTCAGATTCAGTTTCCTTTTTAATGTTTTACCACACTCAGAGCAGCTATGTGATTTCTGATCAGTCTCAGTTATTTTGTTTCTGATCTTTTCCACAGTGTTGGAATCTGACAGATGTTCTTTTGTCTCCTTCAAATCATCTTTTCTGTCTTCAGTCTCAGGTTGGAGTGAAGGGGAACATGGTGGTATCAGCCTCCTTCAGTCCTTGAAGATGTTCTTGAAGCTGCTGGACACAGTGAAAAAAAATGAAACATACGTTAACAACCACCACTTAAAGAGGTCATATTATCTCCCTTCTCCACCTTTTCAAACAATCCCCCTGTGGTCTAAATGAAACATATGTGCTTTGTAAAGGAATGAATGGGACTCACTACTGGATCACTTGAAGCTTACTTCAAACTTCACCACTTTTAAGAGAGCCACCAAGTCCTGGTTAGTTCAGCAACAGACTTGTACTCATGTTTAGCTGTTTGATCAAATGTGTATCTTACTGTATCCTACTGTACCCAGATTCTTTCTCTTTTTGTCCGTGTATATTGTATCTGTCCCTATCAAATAAACCAGAGATAAATAAAAGCTTCAACAGATCAGAAAAGACACTGCTACTGGAAGACACTGAGGGAACAAAATGAGAGAGGTGCAGCTCTAAAAGACATTCAGGAATGAGATCACACACTGGGACACAGATCACTATTGGGTACTATACATTAGGGGTGTGAACGGTTACAAAAAAATGTAAACGGTTACACGACGTAATTTTTTTTAATTTTTTATTTAATAACAAAAAAAGTGGACCGCAGTCGCGCTATACAACCAATGGAGGGTGCGGCCGCTTTTCAGAAAGATTCCTCCGCATCACTGCCGCCACTCAAAGTTGTCAGACAGATACAATTGTGCTTTATAAAGTAGGCTATATAAGTAACACAGAAAACATAGAAGTTATACCAGCAGGGTCTGTCTGTCTGTGAAGGGCTCAGTGCGCATGTGTGTGGGTGGGGGAGCGAGTGAGGAGAGAGAGAGAACTAGTCGAGTGTGTGTGTTCGGCAGGTGTGTGCGAGAGGTACGTTCTGATGCCGGGGACCGGAGCAGAATAAGCAGGAGAAAGTCATGATGTTAAGTACAGTTCAAGCTCTGAGAGCGTAATAAACGGCCCGGTTCGTCAAAATAACAAGCTGGACTCTCCGTGTCTGTTTACACCTTGCTGCACCCCAGTGAAGTGACAGGGGTTAGCCCCCAAGTTGAGGACTACAACTTCGGCCCTGGAGCAGATAAATAAGACTCCCCTGTGCGCCCTGACCATGGTCGAACCCCTCCGAAGAGGGGGTTGAGAGAGGCTCACGGACTTACGTTCAACCGGTTACCGCCGCTGCAAAAAGGCGACATGGAAAGCCAGAACCCGATCAGAGATGATTGAATGCGTGTCTCTAAAACATTTTAAAATAATAATTAAAAAAAAAATTAAAAACGGTTTTCGTTTACTGATTTTTCCTAAACAGTTATGATTTACTAACTGGGTACACGTGTAACCCCTACAACACATTCATTATGATGACAGAACTTTGTTACAGCACATATTTATACTATGTAAAGATTTATAAGACTATATTTTATTAAAGGGGACATATTCTAAAAAATCCTCTTCTACAGTGTTTCTGAACATGTATTTGGGTAACCTGAGTGTCTACTGACCCACAAAATGTGAAATAAACCCATCCAGTCCTTTGTTTGTGGTCTGCATAAGTCTTACAACACAGAGAAAAATCTCTACCCATGGACTCCCCCCCCCCCCCCAGCCTAGAACAAAACCTTTGAGCAGGTCCGCCATGATGTCTACTGGGAAAACTGGGGGGGGGGGGGGGGTCATTGCATTTAAAGAGACACACACACCATTTTGACCAAAGCAAAGGTTTTGTGCTTTGGTCAAAATATAACATGAATAAAGCACCAGAGGAGGTTTGTGACCCTGTATAAACCAGCTCTCTCAGAACGCTCCGTTTTGGTGTGTGTGTCTCTTTAAATGCAATGACTTCCCCCTGAGTTTTCCCAGTAATCTTTCTGAAAAGCGGCCGCACCCTCCATTGGTTGTATAGCGCGACTGCGGTCCACTTTTTTTGTTATTAATAAAAATAAAAAAAATTACGTCGTGTAACTGTTTACATTTTTTTGTAACCGTCCACACCCCTAATGTGTAGTACCCAATAGTGATCTGTGTCCCAGTGTGTGATCTCATTCCTGAATGTCTTTTAGAGCTGCACCTCTCTCATTTTGTTCCCTCAGTGTCTTCCAGTAGCAGTGTCTTTTCTGATCTGTTGAAGCTTTTATTTATCTCTGGTTTATTTGATAGGGACAGATACAATATACACGGACAAAAAGAGAAAGAATCTGGGTACAGTAGGATACAGTAAGATACACATTTGATCAAACAGCTAAACATGAGTACAAGTCTGTTGCTGAACTAACCAGGACTTGGTGGCTCTCTTAAAAGTGGTGAAGTTTGAAGTAAGCTTCAAGTGATCCAGTAGTGAGTCCCATTCATTCCTTTACAAATTCAGCCAGGTTTTTCAGGTTTTACTGCTTTGTGATTGTTATTATGATATACAGCTCGACAAAGGAACTTCCTCTGTAGCCTCATGGGAGTTTGATGCAAAGGATTAATAAAGATGCTTTCAAACAGCTTGTAGTAACTTTCTACATAAATGTACAGTACTGTACAGCAAGCAGCTGATTCTGGATCTGAGCCTACCTGTGCTGACAGTCAGTCTTGACCTACAGGCTGTCCGTCCTACAGTACGACCCTAACCCTCTGAGCTTCTATCAACTGAGGGTGAACAGGTTAGTGATGTCATAAAGCTTCAGAGTTTTGACATGGAGAAGAAAGACTTTCCTTACTTTAACACTTAAAAAAAATGTAAGGACATAATTTTCCTTCTATCATATGTGAAGTCTTGACCAATCAAATCAGGCCATTTGACTCCACCCAGGCTTGTAAAAGGAGTGTGTGTGTGTGTGTTATGTCATGTTGCTCTGCTGAGCAGCAGATGAATCCTTGCAGGACAGGGTTCTGGTCCTGTGACAGGAAGGCCTACAGAGTCTGACATGTGAGAGAGTCTCGTCTCTTCTCATGGCGTCGCTGAGACAGGAGGTAGAGCTAAATGCTGCTGCTCTAATTGTCTCAGTGTTGACTTAAAGAGACATACATGAGCTCATTAACACTCAGAGCAGTGTGCTGCGCTCTCTCTAAATGAAAGTCAAAGAAGCTCAAGTTGTTAGTAATATAATGTGTCTGTTAAGACCTTTGTTTGAGTCTTTCTCTGGCTCCGACTCAAAGCTAGTGGCTGATCCCATCGTGTGTGCTGTATGAGGCTTTTATTCAGACCTAACTCTCTGACCACTTTGAAGCCCTGAACGTAATGTACAAATCTAAGAGGACATGATTAGACCTCAGTCTGAAGGAGTCTTCTCCAGGATTATTTTAATTTAAGGTCTGTTTTGATGCTATTTTATGCACCCTGACTACTTCTCACGCGCCTTCAGATAATGTGTAGTCCAGTAAAGTCAATGATGTTGTTAGCAGGAGCTAGCTGCGGCTAACACTGTGCTGTGAGCAGGAAACACGTTTCCAGCAGTGGAAAGAAAACCTACCTGCTCTCTGCAGCTTGATTTCAGGTGTTAAAATCACATCCAGCACTTTTCTTTGTCGTATCCACATGTTGTTGTTTTTGATATATCTCTGATAACCATCTGAAGAAATCTTTTAAGATCCTGAAACCCGGACATCTTAACACACATCCAAGAGTTTTCTTTGGTTTTTAATGGCGGTCGACAACAAACGTGGTTGGTGTTGTAGCTTGTAGTCATGTAAGAGTCAAAGAAGAAGAACCAAACTAAACGCTGACATATTTTCTAACATTACATCTTCTTACGTTAGCACAACAACACATGCTAACTGTGCTCTGGTTACGGTGTAGCGCTGGATTCTTCTTCTTCTTCTTCTTCTTCTTCTCCTTCTTCTTCGGATTTTATTGGCAGCTGGCATCCAAAAAGTTGCATTACTGCCATCTGCTGGATTTAATTATTACTCACATTCCTAAATCCTCCTCAACAAACCTGTTCTCAAGAGAGATTTAAACAAACATCTTCAGCCTCTCCCTCTCTGAAATCTCTTCTTAGGAGTCCCTCTCTCTCTATTTCTGACATCATGTTCTGTCTATGTGCTACATACTTTCTACATTTAATAACTACATGTTCAACTGTTTCTGCTAGATTGCATATCTCACAAAGACCGGATGAATGTTTTCCAATGATATGTAGAGTACTATTTAAATGACTGTGACTGATTCTTAACCTGGACATTATGACCTTCTCTCTTCTGTTGCTCCCTCTGTATTTGACTTTATCTATTTCCCTCTGAATTGAGTATAAATGTCTTCCCTTTGTCTGATTGTTACAATATTGTTGCCATTCCTATTTAATTTTACTCCATGTGACTCGTTTCCCCTCTGACTTAGATCATTTGATGTTAATATCAATCCTCTCTTTCTTTACAGCTTCCTTTGCCAACCTGTCCACCTTTTCATTTCCTGCTGTGCTGGAACCCACATGAATATCACATCTGTCCCCTGTTTAACCACCTTCTTCTTCTTCTTCTTCTTCTGTGGAGTTTATGTTGCACTACCGCCACCTGCTGACACTTGAATCAAAGTCCAATCACAGAGCTCCCCTCTCATAACATTGTCCGTTCAGTGATTCACACTCAGTTTGTCTGAGTCTCAGCGAGTCTTTCTCTGAGTATGATGTTAAGTTCCTCTCCCGTGATACCCACCACGTCCACAAATCTTCTGTCTGCGTCCATTGCCATTTTTATCAGATTTCTCCTGAATGTCCACAGATCATTTAATTACCATGGCAACAAAAGCTGTTTTCTGCACAAAGTTCCTATTGTTCCTATTATTCACAGACTGTAGGTGCTCCATTTTCTCATATACAATCATCACGCTTCTGAGAGGAAAAACACCTGAGAGGAGAAACAACTGAGAAACACCTGAGAGGAGAAACACCTGAGAGGAGAAACACCTGAGAAACACCTGAGGAGAAACACTTCTTTTCCTCTCGAGCGTTTAGACATGATTCTTCCTCCTCTTGTCATCCTGATGTCTCTTCTGTTTGACTTCCATCACTTGATCACTCCCCTCTTTTCTCTTTGCTCACGTATCCTTTAGTGCAGTGGTTCTCAACTGGTGGGTCGGGACCTGAAAGTGGGTCGCAAAGCCATTTTCAGTGGGTCAGGAATGTGAAGCTGGGATAAAAAAGGTGTTAGAGGGGCACGCTGGTGGCGCAATGGTTAGGGCGCGCGCTCCATGTATTGAGGCTGTCATCTTGAGCGGGAGGCCCGGGTTCACCTCCACCCATGGCCTCTCTCCGCATGTCATTTCCTGCTCTCTCTCCCTGGTTTCCAACTCTATCCACTGTCCTATCTCTGCATTAAAAAGGCACAAAAGCCCAAAAATAAAATCTTTAAAAAAAAAAAAGGTGTTAGAAAGTCTACAAAGCGCTGTTTGATTTGTTCATTTTCTTGCCTCCATCCCTTGTTTTGTAACGTCTACTGCACAATGTTTCATTAAATCAATCTGATTGGTTGTTAAATATCAGAAATGTGGGTGGTGATTTCTCATGGAGGAGTCAGTGGTGGGTCCTGAGACGAGTTCAGAACCACTGCTCTGGTGTATTATTAAGTTTTCTCTCCGACTCCATCAAATCCATTTCCTCCTCGGAGTGTGGACCAAAATGAATCCAGTTCTTTCTATATCCTTGTTTTGAGTAAATAAAGCTCTGTACCCACCATGCCCTGAATTCACCTGTAACTATTATCTGAGCTCCAACTTGATCTTTTTGTGTTGGATTATCTGGTGATCTGAAATACAATATGTACAAAAACAGATTGGAATGAATCTAATTTGGCTATACGCTTGTGACTGAATGTGTAAAGTTCACAGTTGGATCTGCAGAGTGGTTCATGTGCACTTCACATATTGACATGTACAAACTGATATGACCAGTATAGTTCATGTTGAACCTTTTTTTATTATTATCTTACCTATATGAAGCAGCTCTTACATAATATTACACAGGAGAATGGGCTTTAGGTGTAGCACATCCGGTTGGTGTTGGAGCTCCATGATCTTTTTATGCAGGTTACATGGTGAGAGGCAGTAGTCATGAGCCGGGGCTGCTGGTTCTATCTGGCTCTGCAGAGTCTGCAGGTCAGTCCCGCTGGGAGCTCTCTGCTCGACGCTCACACACTCTACGTCTCTGTGTGGGTAGCATGTAGCTATTCCAAGAAAAACGAATGGGTGTGGTTTAGTCTTCAAAGACCCCCAGGAGTCCTTAAAAAGTCTCCTAACGAGAAATGCCTGCTACACACAAGAGTATTTTTGGAAAGGCTAAAGTTGTCTCTACGTAATCTGTTTAGCCACCTAGCTCTTACCGACTGGAAGGCCAATCGTCTTTCTTTAATCCAGGATGTAGTCATCGTTTTTGCTATATTTTCTATGCGTGTTACTTAGTAACCAAGTTGAAACTGATGTAATACATTGATAAAATGAACATGTTCATTTCATCTTGGCATAAATAATCATCTAGGGATATTTTCAATAGCTTTAATGAATCCCTTGACCCACAAAATGAATATAGGCACAAAGATTGACCTTCTTAGTGGCTTGGAAGACATTTTGGCACTGAGAGACTTTACATGGCCGCCACCTTGGAACCGCCATCTTGATGGAGCGGCTCCCAACATAAAAAGCTATGGTGATGAAAATGTGGTACTTTTGTCCGGCGTGTCCCCATTATTTTGCTGCCTGACTATATGGGATGTTATCTATCATAGAGAACACACTGCTGACCCCAAACAGACCCTCTGCATCACCATAACAACCACATTTTACAGAAGACGTCACACCTACTCGGAGCTAGGTGTAAGATTTTAGGTGTAACTTCTGCCTATGTTGGAACTGTCTTTTTTTTAAGATTTATTTTTGGGCTTTTTCTGCCTTTATTGTAGAGACAGGACATTGAATAGAGTCTGTACTCAGGGAGAGAGAGAGTGGAATGACATGCGGGAAAAGGAGCCACAGGCTGGATTCAAACCCAGGCCACCCGCTCTGAGGACCACAGCCTCCACACATGAGGCGCGCACACTAACCACTGAGCCACACACCTTCAATGTTCTTAGAGCGTGAACTCTGTCCTGAATTAAAAATGCTGTTCAAACTAGACGAGAAACTCTGATCAGAGCAGGACACACGCAGACACACACACGCACACACTCACACACACACACAGACACACACACACACACTCCTCAGCTTCTCCTTTCTCTCACTTGTGATGATTCTGATGACTCTGGTGAAAATGTTTGGTCACACTGAGTTCCTCTAATGAAGCTCCACCTCACCTCCTCTGTCACACTGTAAATCACGTTTACCTCCCAATTTCACACACACAGACACAGACACAGACACACACACACACACACACACACACACACACACACACACACACTCCTCAGCTTCTCCTTTCTCTCACTCATGATGATTCTGATGACTCTGGTGAAAATGTTTGGTCACACTGAGTTCCTCTAATGAAGCTCCACCTCACCTCCTCTGTCACACTGTAAATCACATTTACCTCCCAATTTCACACACACACACACAATCACACACCTACAGTGAGTGTGTGCTCATTCATAAACACACCCTGTTAGAGGAATGATTGTGTGTGTCTGACTCTTAAGAGGGTTGATATGACATTGTGACATGTTATGACTTTATCAGATAAAGAACAGATGTTTTGAGGAGTCAGAGTGATAAGATAAGTTGGGAGTGTGATGATGAAGATGTATCCTGTTTCTGTAGATCAGAGGGGACTGTCTGTTGATCTGATGATCATTCTTGGGGAGGTTGGGTCACGGTGGCAGCAGGTGAAGTAAGTCAGCCCAGACTTCCCTCTCCCCGGCAGTGTTTTCCAGCTCCTCCTGGGGGATTCCGAGGCAATATATAATACCTCCAGTGAACTCTGGGTCTGCCCCGGGGTCTCCTCCCGGTTGGGCGTGCCATGGAAAACCTCCAAAGGGAGGTGGCCAGGAGGATCCTAATCAGACGCCCAAACCACCTCGAACCCCCACTGAACGTCTGAGCTCCTCCCCCTCTCTCTACTTCCCCAGATTTCTGCCTCTTTAAACGACATTTTTTTTCCCACTGAAACTTTGCTAGATGCCGCTTAGTGCTCATGAAGGATTAACATTGGGGTCTTTGTAATATAGAAATGAGTAAGGTCTTTTACCCGCTCTTTTGTAAAGTGTCTCGAGATAACGTGTTACGAATTGGCGTTATACAAATAAAGATTGATTGATTGATAAATAATATAGATTTAATAAAATAAATCATATCACTGATTGAGATATTTTATTGCAACAGGTAAAAAAAAATTTCTATGATTGTTGTTTTAGCACAGGATATTCTGCAGCTTAGCCCTGATGGCAGCAGCTGAAGAAAGGGATGCAAAGGATGGCTGCTTTCCTCTAACATGGTGACACTCAAACGTTGGGCTGTGTTGTCATGGTGATAGGACAGCTGGGACTCGGTCTTGTCTTAGTCTCAGACTGGGCAGCCTCTGCATTTTAAATCAATACCTTGTCAAGACTACCACTGATAGGGGGCGCGCTGGTGGCGCAATGATTAGGGCGCACGTCCCATGTATTAAGACTCTCATCTCAAGCATTAGGCCCGGGTTCACTTCCACCTGTGGCCCCTTTCCGCATGTCATTCCCCGCTCTCTCTCCCTGGTTTCCGACTCTGTCCACTGTCCTCTCTCTGCATTAAAGGCACAAAAAGCCCAAAATAAATCTTAAAAAAAAAAAAAAGACTACCACTGATTGGCTACTTTTCCGTGTCATTACTGTGAAGGAAAACACTCCATTTGTAAAACATTAAATAACTATTAATTATTTGTTGTTTGATTTTTATCCCAGTTACATCTGCAACCTTCCCCGCGTTAACGTAAATGGTAAATGGACTTGAGATATATATATATATATATATATATACATATTATTGAGAATATAACACTTTTTCTAATCTTCTGACTACTCAAAGCTCTTTTACACCACAGGTCACACCTACACATTCACACACTGATGGTAGAGGCTGCTGAGTAAAGAGTCCATCAGTATTAACTCATCCATTCATACACATTCACACACTGATGGTAGAGGCTGCTGTGTAAAGTAACCCATTCATACACACTCATACACCGCTGATGGGAGCAATTCAGGGTTAAGTGTCTTGCCCAAGGACACATCGTATGTTGCTGCAGGAGATGGGGATCGAACCCTCAACCTTCTGGTTGAGAGACGACAACTCAAGATGATGACTTTTCAATGATATTCATGGTCTTGGACTTGACTCGGTCTTTGTCTCGCCCTGTCATGGTCTCGGACTTGACTCGGTCTTTGTCTTGATTCAGTCTAGATTCCTGTCTTGGTCTGGATCTCTGAGCACTCTGGTCCCGGGTTTGTTTCTGTCTCGATTAGTGTGGTCCTGACAAAACGGGTTTTTGGCTTATCAAGATGTTCAGTGACTGTTTGCATTAGAGTCAAGGTGGCGTCCTCCACACCTCTCGTACACCTACATGCAAACTGCAACAGGAGTGATTACATGTAACTCTCTCCCTGCATTTCTTAGGATCAAGATTTCTTATGTTGGGGTTGTATCAAGTCAACTTTGGTTATATTCTTTAATAATTATATTTAATAATTAATAATATAAATAAAATATCATTAAACTATGTTTAATCTCGTTTTGGGGCACCAACCTGTAATCAGGTAAATATAACCAAAATATCACTCAAATTAGTTATTTAATTACTAATATTATTAATAATGAATAACTATATTTAATAAATTGAAGGCGTGAAATCCGTACACAAAGCCTTCGCACCCAGCTTATATCACAATGCAAATACACCAGTAATCACAAACAACTGCTCTCTTAAATTATAACAGAATTTATTTAAACAAAGCAACATAAATCCAAAATCAATGAACTTAATCAAACAAATAACTATTATAAACTAATCTAAGCAACAAACATTATCAAGCAAAGGCTTGTGGAAGGGGTGTGAATGTAGGTGTGTGTGTGTGTGTGTGAGAGAGAGAGAGAGAGAGAGAGAGAGAGAGAGAGAGAGAGGGGGAAGAAAAAAAGGGGGGGAGATGGCTTTGTACCCACGTGGTCGTTCACGATGGCGCAAACCTAACAAGGACCTGGGTGCGTGCGTGCGTGGATGAAAGGGAGAGAAAAAGGGGGGAAGATTACTTTGTCCCACGTGGTCGCCCTTCCGATGGCGCACACCTAACAAAGGCCTAAACGTGGCCTTAATGTCTAAAAGAGACCGAGTTCAACCCTACACGATCTGTGTCTCTGAGGCGTCTGGATAGCCGCGAGTGTATAGATCCCTGTGCGTAATGGCGCGGTGGTGGAGTTGGTCTCCAGATGTACGTTTACACAAGAATATGTGTGTGTGTGTGTATGTTCGTAGAAGAGGAAATAAAAGAGGATAAAAGAGAATAAAAGAGAAATGCGTGCCTGAAGAGGCCGGATCACAGTCCGACTCCCGCGCCACAACTCGGAGTAATTCCCTTCATTCACAGAAACAAACCAATAGCCGAATTCAAGTTAATACGGCTTACACTGGCCTTTCTGATCAGAAGAGTAATACCCGGTTATAACGCTGTTACGCTAAACACATATAGGACGAAGCGGTCCGAAACAACAACAAGAGTTTAAACAGTTAAAACTCAGGACGCAGCGGTCCAACAAAGATAAAAAATTACAGTTTCTGCTTCGATCAACAATTGTTAAAAACACTCTCTAAAGCTAATTCTGCCCAGACCTAATTAAGCCTCACTTGTGAACCGCTTTGTCCGCGATTGGTGAAAGGAAAAGAGTCCGGCAATGGAGCAGATCTTCTGTCCGTCCTGGTGCAGAGGCGTCTGATGGCGGCGAGGGTCCCTTACGGCGAGAGCGGCTTCGTTGGTTCTCCGTCGAGTGGAAAGATGTCCTTTGATGTCCTTTCGTTGCAGGACGGAATAAGACCGTTATCTTTCTGATAATCTGTAATAGTCTGACGCTCTCCGAGAAACTGAGATGCGTTCACTGGACAATCCGAGCTCGGAATTTAGAACACTGCCGGTCGCGGATTACCTGCGCGCCAAAAAAACTTAAAACAAAGGAAGATTGTTGCAGAAACAGAAGGTGAGCTTGGGTCTCCGAGCACTAGAAGTCAGCGCGTGGAAAGAGAGAGAACAATGGAAGTCTTGGAGTTTTGTAGCCTGGCCTGCTCCATGGGGGGTCTACCTCAGGTCCCCTCCAATGAGGAGAGAGAGGTTCCGGTCCCCCCTTACTTCACGCGTAGGTGTGAAGTACCGCAGGGGATTCTGGGATTAAGAGTCCTTTTAGGCCTCTTTGTGATCTCAGTGAATAACTCAAATGAGGCTTTTACAGAGGTGCAGGCCCAAGTCCATTGTTTGACTGTCCTAAGCCTGCGTGGCCCAACACTTAGGAATAGGGATTATGGTTGATTTCTTTGTTGGAACATGTTTCCATTGGCAGCCAGAAAAGTTTGGTAAGAACATCGAGCTGTTTGGCCCAGACTTTAAAGGTAAAATATTATGCAAAGTAAACTTCACCATGTTCCTCTAACTCTAATATGTGTCCCTAGTTTGTCTACAAACCCCCCAATGATGAGAAAAGTCCATCTCCATCCAGTCTTCTCCCTGCTCCACTCTTCAGAAAATGTGTGCTCAAACAGGCCGTTTGGAGATTTTCCCTTCATGACATCACAAAGGGCAGTAGCCCCTCCCCCAGGTGGGTAACACTCCCACAGCTAGGTGTTTGTTCTGCCCTCTGAGTCTGCCTTCTCACCGTAAACAATAGGACATGGAGCGAGAGAGGGGCATTTGGAGCATAAGGCCAGAGAATGATCTGATGTTTTGAACATGTTGTCAACATGATCCTCTTTTAGGGTAAAACAGCTCTTCAGCCCTCATAACGTATGTCAAGAGGATCCTCTTTTAGGATAAAACAGCTCTTCAGCCCTCATAACGTATGTCAACATGATCCTCTTTTAGGGTAAAACAGCTCTTCAGCCCTCATAACGTATGTCGACAAGATCCTCTTTTAGGGTAAAACAGCTCTTCAGCCCTCATAACGTCAGCAGACAAACACTTAAATGAGCACAGAGACATATGTGGAGCTACAAGAGCTTCTTTCTCTCTTGTGAAGGGATGAAAACCGTCCTGAGCTGCAGGACTACAGCACGTACCTGAGCAGACATTTTTAAAGCAGTGACTGATCTGGGGTCAGTTATTGTCCGTGAAAATATTTTCACGAGTGTATTTCAACACGCCTGAGTGACGTGTTGTGAGGAGGGTGGTGGGAGTGATTGTGCAGCCTCAGCATGATTTATAAGGAGGAAGTGAACGAAGCAGAGAGAGAGAGAGAGAGACTGAACACGGCTCATTAACCAGGTAGGATCAGCGTTCATTCTGATTTATGACAACAATTATTGATCCGTTTGAAAAAAGACGGCTTAATGATGTTATTTATCTCTCATGTTTGATTGGACAGATTATTATTAACTGTCTAAACTCATCTGATTTCACCGGAGGAGTCCAGAGATGTGATCTGGAATCTAAAGCAGAAATCTGAAAAGAGCACTAATATATACAAATAATAAGCATTTAATAAAAAAACATAGAAATAAAGAAAAAGAGTTTGCTGTAGAACCTCTCTTGTTGTTATAAAGACATATTTATCTTTAAGTGAGTTCATCTGTGAGATGAAAAGAAAGGCTTAAGTCATTATTTAATTTAATTCTGCTGATGATAGAGGAAGCTGGGTAAAGAGTCCATCAGTATTTTGGTTGTTCACACATGCACCTCACAGCTGGAGAGTATTAGGGCGGGGCCTCCTGAGTCGAGATGTAACACAGAATATGTCACTTTCTATCAATGCTGCGTGTAGTTGAAGAGAATCTCAATGTGAACTAAAGAGTGGAGAAGAACATACTGGAGAACAGGAAACATGCAGCAGGAGGTTCATTAGAGCACGGAGATGGTAGAGGTGGCGTGCAGACAGTCTATGGTTGTGCAGCGATCACAGGGAATAAAGGTCACCCCCCCGGCTCCACTCTGACTTTCTGCAGAATAAATACGAGGAGGCTGGAGGAGAAACTCTGGGTGAAGAGAGAAACATTCAGATGTTTGTGTTCACACATGACGCTCAGACTGATAAACTTCAGGAGTTTAATGAAAGCACATTAAGAGTGGAACTCTGTTGCTTCATACGCCACATGTCGCTCTTTGATGAAGGCTACTGAACATTTTGATATTGTGTTTCTCTCCCCTCCATCATCTTGTCTTCCATGACTTGAAAGTCTTTGTTGTGTGTGTAAAATGTGATCTGTCCTGTGTGGTCTCTGTGCAGGCCTCGTCATGGGGGACTGGTCATTTCTATCCGACCTGTTGGACAAGGTGCAGTCTCACTCCACAGTGGTGGGGAAGGTGTGGATGAGCGTCCTCTTTCTCTTCAGAATCTTCATCCTGGCTGCTGGTGTGGACACAATCTGGGGAGATGAGCAGGCCAACATGGACTGCAACATTAAGAGCCTCGGCTGCAAGAACGCGTGCTACGACCGCTCCTTCCCCCTGTCCCACACACGCTTCTGGGTCCTGCAGATCCTGACCGTGTCCACACCCACGCTGGTCTACCTGGGCCACGTGCTGCTGGTGATCCGCAGAGAGAATAAGCTGAGGAGACGCCTGGAGCAGAAGCTGGGTAAGAACGGGATGATGAAGGCTCCCAAGTATTCAAACGAGCACGGCAAAGTGCAGCTGAAAGGCGTCCTGCTGTGCAGCTACTTGATGCAGCTGCTGATAAAGATCCTTCTAGAAGTGGCCTTCCTCGTGGGACAGTACTTCCTGTATGGCTTCATCCTCATGCCTCCTAAGATCACATTTTCAGAGTACCCCTGTCCCTCTCCTGTACACTGCTTCATAAGTCGACCCACAGAGAAAACCGTCTTCATTGTCTTCATGATGGCCATGGCTGCTCTCTCTGTGATCCTCAACATCGTGGAGATATTCCACCTGATTATCTCAAAGCTCAGCGAGAAGAGACGCAGGAGCTCCATCCCCCCCGAGGTGTACCGCCCTGACAAACTGAACCACGGCTCCAGAGAGAGCGTCACTCTCTGTTAGAGGCTTCTGGTGAACACTTTCACTTTACATCCTGAGCACCCTTACAAGGTTCTGTTCAGACTCTAAGTAATCTCCACCTCCTCCTGTTGAACTAAAGCAAAGGAGCATCTGATTTAACATACTGCCCGTTCCACTTACACAAACACACATTTTACTTCCTGCTCAAAGGTCAAAGGTCCCTCAGGTTACTACAGATTCTCCTGTCAGTCTGAAGTGGACTCAGGTTATGGAAAGTTCATCTGATGATCCGTTCCACACAGCATTGCAGGAGCCTCATTGGTCAACAGAGCTGTCAGTCATAGTACTACACTCCTTTATTTAGCATCAGAAAATAGTTTTTTTATCTCTTCTGATTCATTGTAAACTTGTCAGTTGTCTTTGTTAAAAACCTGCTGAACAGATGAAACAAACACTTCCTCTCACATGATAATGAAACCACACGGCTCCTAAAATCACAACTTGATTTAGTGAACACATGCAGTTAAACACCTTTTAAAAGAGCTCAGTCACACAAAGATAGATTTATTTTATAAATGGAGATGTGTAGAGAAATTATGTTGTGTTTGGTGGGTGTCTTCTAAAGTAATTCCTCATGACTTTAATGTATGATGTGTGTAATAATGTTTTTGAATGTTTGTTTTTCATGTTTTTTAATCTGGACGTCACTTGAACAGTGAACTTTTAATGTGTTTTGTTTTTATCTTTCAAATGCTGAATCTTCTGTCTGCACAACAAAGGTCACTTTTTAAAGATAAAGAGGAGATAAAGATCAACTTTATTGAGCTAAAAAAAAACAGGAATGTTATTAACAAAAACAGCGAAAAGTAAAAAAAAACAAAAACATATTTACATCAATTAATAAAGATACCTGGAACATTGAGTTGTGTTATAATTAAGAAAATATGAACAAAGACACAGAAGATAAGGGATGAACATCTGAATTATGGGCGTGTTTGGGCCATGTTCATGTGAGAACCATCTCTGAAAACAGAATCTTTGTTGGTTTGCATTTTCAAAAAACATCATGTTCAGGTGAAAACGTATTTGATCACACAGATAGACATTTGTATAGTACGACTCCCGCAGTATACAAATCAGGTCAGTAGTGGGTTTGTTACTCATGGGCCTGATAGAATAAGATCCAAAGTAAAGACTTGTGTGTTCACTCCAATAAATTGCATGTTTGGTGAGTGTGTGATTTTTGGGTGATCTACTAAGAAAATCTGCGTGAATGACAACAGGTGCAAACCTTGTAGAGGCGGTTCTATTTAAGTTAGGTTTTTGCATGTTCTACTGGTTTACGTCACAGAGAGTTTGGACAGAAAGCAGGACGACGGCAAGCGCAAAATAGGTATCAGTGGAAGAGGCAAATGAATGTACAGTATTTTCCAGTTATAGCAGATAAATCTCTGAATATTACAAAAAGAAAATTTGGTTTATAATAAAACCTCAGCATTAAACAGGGCCTCTCTTTTCTTCCCTCCATCTTTTGAATGAATTGTCATACATTGTGCAGGAGGTGTGAGCTGTGTCCTCTGTGGCACTCAACATTGTTGAGCAGCAGACAGCTGGCCAGCGCTATGTCTGTGTCGGACTCAAAGCTGATTGTTTGCGTTGTGTTGTACTTACTCTCTGATGTACTGTACGTCGCTTTGGATAAAAGCGTCTGCTAAGTCAATTGTAGAATTGTAGAATTGTAGAATCGGACATAAATGCTCTTCCTAAGAAGTATCGAAGACGGTGGTACAAACAGTGGTGAGGCCCCCCATCAAAGTGTCCTACAGAGCAGCAGCAGCGGGCTGTAGAGGGAGGAGACGAGCACACCAGAGGGGGCGAGCTGGGGGAGAGACGAGCAAAGAGGAAATAAAATCTAATGTTGTGAAATGAGGGAAATAGGAAGACATAAATGACAATGTCGAAATTATTTAGGATGCAGAGGATGTGAATGTTCAGTTCTGTTTGTCTATAGGCAAAAATAGTCTTTAATCATGGTGTTTCTCTCCATTATGGAATCAAAATAGAAAACAAATGCATGCCGTTCATTTTTCAGTCATTTGAAACATTATTTATGAGAATAAAGTCATAAATTTACCAGTTTGAGTGCGCAATGATGATGAAACCCTTAAAACCCTTAAAACCTTTAAAGAAGAAAGTGGTTATTATAGTCTATATCAGAAGAGCAGCAGCAGCCTGTTCTCAAATGACAAACATGGAGCATCTTGTTATACTTTAGTGAAGGTTTACTAAAGGCTTCCTCCTTGTGTAGTCGTAAAAAACAGTTCAACTTGAAAGAACGTGTTTATCTGTAAAATGATGAACAGGACACAAACTGGCTCTGCACGTAAGACACTAAACAGACAGATAACAGACACTAATATCAGATAGTTGTGTTTGGGACTTTACTTGTACTTTTGGTACATCATCATCATGACATTGTCTTAAAATATAACTGTGGCTTTTTCGAAGAAAGAACCACACTGACTGAGGAAGTTGTGTCTGTTGAGGAAACAAAAGTGATGAACAATGTCCCCCCCCTCCTCCCACATAACACAGACTCTCATCAGCCCCACAGTCAGTAAAACATCAAGTAATGTGAATGCTGAACTGTTCTTTATGTGTTACATTAACGCCCACTGGACTTTAAATGTATTTTCTTTACATGCACTCTGTGAGTAGTTACACACACTAAGATGTTTTCTCATAGTCCACTGCACAGCTCCTACTTTGCACCTTTTGTACATTTTGTGTTTTATTTTTTATATTTATATTTTACATTTTTAAATTCTATTTTATATATTGTAATAGCTTCTTATACTGTATTATTTAAGTTGTTGCTAGTTCTGCTTTATTCCCTTGTTAATTGTTTAGCACCAATACACCAAGTCAAACTCACTGTATGTGTAAATGTACTTGGCAATAAAACACGATTCAGATTCTGATTCTGATTCTGATTCTGAAAATACTTTTAAGAGTTCTCCTTTCATCATTTTGGCCAGGCTGGTCTCGAACTCGTAAATTTACGAGATAAATCTCTTTACTTTTTTTTTTTTCTAACCCTGCGTTGTATAAAGGTACCAAACTTCAAGTTAAATAGGACCTACTGTACATCTGGGAATGATCTGGTTTGGAAGAATTATAATGAATAGGCTAATTTAAATAAATGCACACTCATTTATTCATTTGGCTGATGCTATAAAAGTCTAATTTACCAAATTAAGAGCCGTTTGTGAGCAGAAGGAGCCAAAGAGTCAAATACTCTGGATCACTAAAACGAGTCGTTATTCTCATCACTCTGCGATCCACTGCGTCTCCCTGAAGCAGACAGTAGTAGTGGCTGTCAGGTCCAAACGGAAGTCGGTGGGACTTCCTGGTTTGTGGAGCAGAATCAACAACAGTCGTCAGGTTTGTCTCCGTGTTAAAATTAAGGCTCGGGATATTTCCGGTGGGTTATCTCACGGTGTTTATCCGAGAGACGCTTCGTCACAGTTAGCATCGAGCTAACGTTAGCAGCAGCAGCGCCGTGGTGATGTCTGCTTCGGCCGGATGCTCCCCGGCAGGCCCGGGCTCAGGCCTGGGCCCTGGGATGTCCATGTTCCGCTGGCTGGAGGTGCTGGAGAAGGAGTTTGACAAGGCCTTCGTGGACGTGGACCTGCTGCTGGGGGAGATAGACCCTGACCAGGTGGACATCACCTACGAGGGCCGACAGAAGATGACGAGCCTGAGCTCCTGCTTCGCCCAGCTGTGTCACAAAACTCAGACTGTGTTCCAGCTCAACCACAAACTGGAGGTAAGAGCCAAAACTCAGACTGTGTTCCAGCTCAAACACAAACTGGAGGTAAGAGCCAAAACTCAGACTGTGTTCCAGCTCAAACACAAAAACTGAGACTGTGTTGCAGCTCAAAGTGGAGGTGAGTCTGTGTCAGGTTAGGGTTGTCAACATGATACCAGGATTCAAATCTTGATTTCACAAATTGCAGTAAAACTCCTGCACACTGTTTAAATTGTACAAACACATTGGAAATGCTTCCGGATGTCAAGATGAAACTTTAGCCCTTGACTCAGCGTTTCACCGCCCTAATTCAAACTGTACGCTACCATGGCAACCAAAATACAAGTTCTAGGCACCAATGTTGGGTCATTCATTGCAGGCAACTGCACACCGAAGTGTTGTCAATGCCTGTGTGTCATTTAGCTCACTCTCAGGTTCTCTCTCTCTCTCTCTCCTCACACAAACGTGTTTTTATAGCTTTGTTCCATACTATTGATCATCTAAAATAATCGATTGTTTAAAAAAAACTGTGTTTTCTTAAAGTAATAAAGAACATTTTGAAACTCTAATCCTGATGGTGGTCCCTCTGCAGGCTCAGCTGGTGGACCTGCGCTCGGAGCTGACTGATGTGAAGGCTGAGCGCTCGGTGGTGGAGAGAGAGGTGCACGACCAGCTGCTGCAGCTTCACGCTCTACAGCTGCAGCTTCACGCCAAACAAGGCCAGGACGAGGACTCGGACTCCATCAAAGACAGACTGGTAGGAGGAGGTTAAACTTTATCTTCGTATAGAGGTGAACGTCACAAATCAAGTTTATACGATCCCAACGAGGTCTCGTTCAGGGGCGCTGCTGACACTAAATCAACAGGTTTCTGTCTGTGAATCACAGGATGTGCTTTTAACCACCTCCCTTTAATGTTCACTCTCTTTAACATCTGGATCAGACTGATCAGCATCTTCTGGTCCAGTATTCAGTTTAGTGTGAGCCAGACTTCACATGAGAGTAAATGTTCAGAGTTATTGAGTAACATAATATGAAACACATGAATCTGAACTGATCACGTCTCTACAGTTCTACACCTTTAACAGAGAACATGAAGTAATGCTTCATCTCTTTTTATTTATCTTTACAGCCAGTGTTTGATTACAAAGCACATCATGAGTGAGTGTCAGTGACATGAGATGAAGAGGGATGACATTGAAACATAATGCGTCTTTATTAACTTTATACTTCATTCTTTGAACCCAGCGATCATTATCTGTCTTTTGCTCTTTTGCTCTGGTGGAATTATTGATTTTCTTGAATCATTTATGTATTTATTTGATGTCAGTTTTTTTACTGATGCTGTTTTTGGAGGGAACCAGAAGCAGTAATGTGTTTGTTTCTGCTGCTTTGTTTATTTGTTTTTCTGCTGCTCCTGCTCTCTGATTGGTTCCTGCTCTCTGATTGGTTCCTGCTCTCTGATTGGTTCCTGCTCTCTGATTGGTTCCTGCCCTCTGATTGGTTCCTGCGCTCTGATGGTCTTTCCTTTCACTAACTCTGTCCTCCTCAAATGATCATGCCTCTAATCTGTGACTCCTCGGGTTTCCTCCTCTGCTGCTGCTCTCCCTCTAAGCCTGCACCCTTAATGGATCACATGGTAAGTGTGTGTGCATGCGCGTGCGTGTGCGTGTGCGTGCGCGTGCGCGCACGATATAGATTGTGTAGCTTCACTGAACACAGCTTGAACACACCCTCACAATGTAGTAGTAGGACTGTCTCCCCACTCACTAACAGCAGGCCTTTACCGTACAGAGCTCACACAGCTGATGAACACAGATCAACTTGTTATGGACAACACACACACACTAGTTTGAATGGTGATTCTTTAGTTGAGGTGAGATGATGTTATGTCTCTTTTCTCTGAGCCTCTGAACTCCACTCAGAAACCTCTACACATGATCTATAATATCACACCAGCAGTGTTCATTAATTGTTACTTCTGTCATAAGAGCCTGTTTCCACTCACGCTGTTTTCTATGCTAACCCATGTAGTTCAGTATTTTCAGCATCAGCAGCTTTGTGACTTTCGTAACAGCACCAGGCTGTCACTGTCATCGCTCTCCCTTACCGACCAATCAGAATCAAGAAGGGGTGGGGCTTCTGATATCAGCTTTGTCAATGACAAGAGACCATATTCCCCCGGCGGCCCCCATGTTATCCTGATATCAGGTTCAGGGTCGGGGGGGGCTCAGATGTTGTTTCAGCTTTAATTCATGTTAGCTGAGCTCAAACTTGTTGGATCTATTTTCAGTGCTTCCCTTCCTTATCTAAAGACATTTATTTAGCACATTTTAAACCATCTGTTACATTTCGTATCCTAGCAACAACGACTGGTGCTGAGAAGTGTTTTGTGCAATGGAAACAACAAGCCTTAAAGAGA